GCAGCAGCCACCCCATGGTACGTGGAAGGAGTTCCATGAGCCTGGATCCGGGCGAGGGGCTGGGTGTGGCAGTGGGAACAGTGGTGCCTATCTCAGTAGATGGTGCTTGCGGGGGCTTCACCTTCCAAAGTCGTGGGTCGCCTCAGGCATGGGTGAGGCGATGGCCCTGGTGGCAGCATCTGCAGCTGCAGTGGCGGCCCAGACCACTGAGCTGTTTGAGTGGTGGCTGCAGCTGAGCTCTGTGTGAAGAGCAGGCTGCTGATGATGGGAGCTGCAGCCCCTGGGAGAGAGCCAGAGTCTTTATGTGTGTTCTCTTTTGCGGGGGGTCTCACAGACCAAGCTGCCCCGTCACCATCTTGCCGGAAGTCCCATATATTATATTTATTTATATACAACAAATATATGTAAATATGTATTATACATACAAACACAAATAACTATATAATTATATAAATAATTACACACATATAAATGTATATTATGCAGTATTACATATTATATGCATATTTTATATATAAAATATATATATTATATTTTCTAACATGCCAAACTAGTCTTCTCAGTAATTCAAGGAAAACAGAACACTGCCTGGATTCTATTAGGAGAATGACTTACCTTTCTAGGTTTGTTTGTCTTCCCATCTGTAAATAAGGCCCAATACGAGCATTCTTTGAGGTTTGTATTCTTGTTAGATGTCAGAAAGGAAGAATGCTGTCCCTGCATTACACAGATTTGTTCAGTTTTGTCTTCCCGAGAGCTACCTCTGTTTCCTCTGCCCCATTCATGGGCCCAAGCAGGGGAAGAAGCCTTGTGTCCTGGTGGAGTTGAGTTGTTTCACCTCCCCATTAGGTGATATCGCAAGACAACTGAAATTTCTTGAGCATAAAACGACAAAAGGTTAATGCAAGTACTGGGTGTTTTTTCAACAAGCGCCATGCTGGATTGTTCTGCCTGGTTGTCATGACAGCCCTATGAAGCAGGTATGCTTGTCCCTCCTGTTTTGTCGCTGGGGCATCTGCAGGTCAGTAAGGCTAAACAACATCTCCTCGCTGGCCATCCCTGCTGGTCACCTGCATGGCCCTCAGACACTCAGGCCAATATCACCCAAAACTGCATCATTAAACCTCAGGCCACACGGGTGTTTCTCTCCAAGCCTTCTTGGTGGCACAGTGGGGCACTCCAGCTGTAGGCACAGCTCTAGAGGTTGGCTTTCCTTGGTCCTGCCTCCTTGTCCTCTGGCCTCCTCCATCTGATTCTTGAGTTCATCGCTCCCAGTTTTTGGACCTTGCTCTCCTGGCCTTCCTGTCTGCCTGTCTCTCCATGGCCCCTCTGACGGGTCGCCGCTCCTTGGCTTCAGTTGCCACTGAGTCATCCTCTCTTGTCGTCCTGGGCCCAGGCAGTCCTCCCTCCTTGGCCTCCTGAGTAGCTGCGACCACAGGGAACTCAGTTTGCCCTGGACAGCAACCGGGAATCATTCCCTGTTGCCCCTAGGCCTCCTGGAGACCAGGTGCGACTCTCTCCTTCATCTCGTAATTCTGTGCCTTCTCCCTGCTCTCCACCCCAACCTACCGAGTCCTTGTAAGTCCTGATTTAGATTTAGGGGTCTACTGTTCTGCTTGATACCCTCGATCTGTTTCTAAGCACACGAAAGCATCATACTAAGAACAGGTGCTGTGTTTTGTTCAACACCAGTGTCTTTGTTCTTTTTTTTGTTTTTTGTTTTGCTTTGTTTTTGAGTCGGGGTCTCACTCTGTTGCCCAGGCAGGAGTTCAGTGGCACAATCACGGCTCACTGCAGGCTCAACCTCCTGGGTCCAGCCAATCCTTCCTCCTCAGCCTCCTGAGTAGCTGGGACTACAGGCACGCACCCCTACGCCTGGCTAATTTTTTGATTTTTTTTTAGTAGAGACGAGGTCTCGCTATGTTGCTCAGTCTGGTCTCGAACTCCTGGGCTCAAATGATCCTCCCACCTCAGCTTCCCAAAGTGCTGGGATTACAGGTGTGAGTCACTGCGCCCATCCTTAGTTCATTTTTTGTTGCAGCTTATAACAGAATACCTGAAACTGGCTTGCTTATAAAGAATAGAAACTTACTTCTTACAGGTCTGGAGGCTGAGCTGTCCATGGTAGAGGGACCACATCATTCAGGGAACTTCTTGCTGTGAGGACGCTCTGTGGAGTCACAAAGCAGCCCATAGCTTGACAAAGCAGCCCACAGCTTGACATGGCGAGAGGCTGAGTTACTAGCTGGAGTCTCACCGCCTTGTCTATAAAGCCACATGCTCCACTCCCATATATTATTAACCCATGAGTCGGCAAATGGGTTAATCTATTTACGAGGGCAGAGACTTCATGACCCAATCGCCTTTTACAGGCCTCAGCTCCTCAGCTGTTACATTGGGGGTGGCATTTTAACATGAATTTGGGAGGGGACAGATATTCTCTTTTTTTAATTTTTAAAGATGTGGAGTACAATTCAGGATTGTGTGCACAAGTGGTCATCCTACAGGTGAAGTTTGGGCCTCCCTTTGGTCCCCACTTCACCTGGCTTGAGATCAGGTACCCTTCTTGATGTTGTGTCTCCCCACACCCTGCCCCAGCAGTATCCAGCTACTACCAATCCCTTTTTTACAGTATTATGGTAAATGTTCAGGGTCTGCTTATGAGTGAGAACATGTGGTACTCAGTTCTTGGTTTCTGTGATAGATCACTGAGTATGTTAGACTCTAAATCCATCCAAGTTGTGCGAAGTCCATAACTTTGTCCTTCTTTACGGCTGTGTTATATTCCATTGTGTATATGTCCCACTTTTTTTTTTTTATCCGGTCCATTTTTGATGGGCAGCACGATTGGTTCCATGTTTTTGCTATTGTGAATCGTGCTGCAATAAACGTGCTTGTGCAGGTATCTTTTTGGTAGAATGATTCTGGAGGGGGCAGATATTCAAACCATGGCAACTACTCACAGGCTTTCCTTCACAGGGTCAATCATTTTCTGGGGAAACTGGACACTGAATGATAAGTTAGCCATCACTATAAGTGTTTGCTGTTGATATTCTCCTAGGGCTATTTCAAGAGCTTTTAATATATGAACCCATGTAATCCTCACAATGACCCTATAATATAGGCATTTTAAAATTGTACCCGTTTTTCAGGTGAGGAAACTGAGGCACAGAGGTTAAGCAATTTCCCCAAGGCTCCCCAGCTTTCACATGCAGAGCCAAGATTGGGAGCCAGGCTGCTGGGCTGCAGAGACCGGGTCTTTTCTCATCTTGTACTGTCTCTGTGCTCCATGCTGTGCTGTCTCTGAAGATGTCATTATTAGCTGATTGGCTGTTGTGCAGAGGAATGAAAGGCGCTATGGGCATGTGTGGCCACAGTGTGTGCCAGAAAGGATATAGGAGGGGCCTCGTGGAGACTAGAATTTAGGTCGGAGGTGGGGGACTTTTAATCTGAAACCTGAGGCTAAAAACGAATCATCTGAGCATATGTGTTGGGGGGAGAGATGCTGTTCCAGGCAGAGGGATCAGCATGTGTGGAGTCCTTGAGACAAGGAAGCAGAGGAAGAGGAAACCAGTGTGACTGCAGGGTAGAGAGGTGGGCCCCAGGCAGGAGAGAGCCAGACTGGGGTTTGGGATGCCACCCTGCAGTCTGAGAGGAGCTAAGTTACAGTTTCATCTCCTTCCAGTGCCTTCTCCCTGCTCCCGAAACCCTATCACTGCTCTTCTCCTTACTTCCATCCCAAGAAGTGATTTTCTGTATGTGCAGAGCTGCCTTATTGGATCAGCACTTGTTGCTGGGAAAGTACACGTTGAGGTCGAGAAGCAGGATGGGGATTCTGAGTGGTGGAGTTTGAATGTGCTTGTTTGCTCATCGATGGTGAACTTGACGTCTGTGCTTTGAAGCATGTCAGTCGTTTTAAGGATGTCCATAGTTTTACCTTTTAAAAAAAATGTCAATGGCTTTAGGGGGTACAAATAGTTTTGGGTCTGGGCTTTCAGTGTACCCACCCTCCCCATCTGTGCTCACTTCCCCCTCGTGGGTGATTTTCTGTCCCTCCGCCCCTTCCCTTCTTCCCCCTTCTGAGTGTCCATTGTCCGTCATACCATTCTCTGTGTCTCTGCAGGTCCTTTGTTTAGCGCCCATGTATAAGCGAGAGCATGCAGTGTTTGGTTTTCTGTTCCTGAGTTAGTTCACTTAGGATGATGTTCTCCAATTCCATCCAAGTTGCTGCTCAAGACAGTATTTTGTTATTTTTGATAGCTGAGTGGTATTCCATGGTGTATATATACCCCATTTTCTTTTTTTTGCTTTTTTTTTTAAAAACATATTTTTTATTTTAAAGTTGTGGGGTACAGTTAAGGGTTAGGGATATAAATATGCATCGTTCAGGCACCCTTGTGGATAAGGGGTGTCCCCCATCCCCAGACAGATATTGACCACCGTTAATCCCATCACCCTTACCTTCCCTGCCCCCCCATAGATTCCCACCACTGTCAATCCTTTTCTTGTAATATATACCCCATGTTCATCATCCATGTTGGGTGTTGGGCATTTAGGCTGCTTCCACATCTTTATTATTGTGACTCATGCTGTGACAAACATGCGGGTCCAGGTGCCTTTTCCATATACGACCTCTGTTCTTCTGAGTAGATGCCAACTAGTGGGATTGCTGGATCAGATTTTGTCTTTTTTGAATGGAGCCCCAATGGGCCTCCTTCTAGTGAGTTCTATTCTGCAACAAACATTTATAAATAAATTTGAGTGCTTTTATTTGCAGTTCATATGTGTTTAAATGGAGAGGCCTTCACATCCGGGAATGTTCTACCTTACGTATGGATTTCTGAACGAATGCCACGTGATTTGTTTCTGATATTTACCAATTTGTTTGAGCAACAGACAAAACGTCGATCGTTTGAACTTCTTTCCACACTGCCGTTTTATTTGGAGATTATTCTCAGGTAAGGCGTGCTTAAGATTTGGCTTCTGTTCTTTCTCCTCAGCTCAGAAGAATATTCAGTATGTCCTGGTGTTTGACGTATTTGTTATTCTGAGTTGCTTGACCTCTCTCGTTCTGTGCACAAGATCCATTGTTCTCGCTCTGAGGTTACGAAAGGTTAGTATGCGTCTGCTTTCTCGCCCTGTATTCTTGGCCTGTGCTCTCAGTTTACCCAAACAGCAGGCCACTGTGCCATCCGCCCTTTCTGGAGTCTCTGCCTCACCTCAATTCCTTTGAGTAATGCCCCCCATGAGACATTAATCAGCCTGAGGTATAGGAAGCCAGGGAGGGCTCTGAGTACATCAAGTAGATAATCAGATAATTATCCTGTTCAGAACTGAGCTGGTAAGTACAGGTGCACAGTGGTACACTCTCAGACTTTTGGATGTTTCCAGAATAAGTGAGGCCATTTTAAATTCAGGAGTAATCCCAAGAGCAGAGCAAGAGCCTGTGTGGGTTTCATCTTTTGTCTTCAAATCAGAGTTCCTTTTGACAGGGAGGCGTGGTAAATGGATTGTAATGAGGCCATCTAATACTTTATTCTATTTTTTAAAAAAATAGTTAAAAACTCTCTCCTTAGTCTCATTTTACCTTTGTACCCTCAGGGCTCTTATGAATATATACTCCCATTCCCCACAAATCATATTCTGGTTTGTGGCATGTGTGGAAGTGCATCCGGCAGTCAGGGGAAGTCACTGGAATGCCATTTGTGGGACAAGGGATTAGTCTCTGCCCTACTTTTCTCCATCTTGACCTTTGTCAATGCACCTTGTAAATACCCAACTCTCTTCCCTGCTCCCCCAGCCCCTCGATATTCTGAATCCAAGGCTAAGGTCCTGTCTCTGATGAAGTGAGAGACTAACCCAAGGCATGCACACTCTGGGGCTGGCCTGCCTGGACTCCAGTCCTGGCTTAGCCTCTGCCTCAGTTCCCTCATCTGGAAAGCACGGCTGGTAATGCCGTGTTCATCAGGTAGTCATTGGAATGAATGAGTCAATAATATGTAAAGTACACCTGTCTAACCCATGGACCATAGGCTGCGTGTGGCCCAAGACAGCCAGTCATGCAGCCCACAAAATCTTTGAACATCGAGTGTTTTTTAGCGTTTATTTTCTTCGTGACCCCATGCGTAGTTTCATTTTTGAAGTTCACAGTCATGCCTTGTCATGCCTTGTTCATGACCTCGCTTTTTGGTGGTCCATACATTTGTGAGCTGCTGTTTTCAATGATGAAGCCCACAAGGAGCAAAATTCAAACAAACACACTTCTGACGGGCACCTTGAGAATGCACTAAGAATTGTGACCACTTCCATTGAACTAGACATGGATAGATTCATCTTACAAAAACAAGGTCAAATTTCCCACTAGTTTTATATTGTTCTCATTGTTCTAAACTTTATAAAATTTATAAAAATTTATTTTTAAAAAGTTTTATATTGTTCCCATTGTTCTAAACTTTATAAATTTATAAAATGTATAAAATATAAAAAAAATTAAAGAAGTCTTATTATCTACAGGAGGTGCCAAAAACATGTACACATATTTTAAATGGCGTTATCTATGTATTACTTTTCCAAGTTGAATTGAATTACGGTAGCAATGTGTCGTATGATGTTTGCTCAACCATGCTTCTGCTGTTTTCTTGGACTGTCCTGCCTGTCCCATGGTGACACTAGCATTCATTTGACTAATGCCATATTTTGAGCAAACATCATACTTAAAGTATGTATACTTTTTTTGGCACCCCCTGTCTATACACTAACTATATTATATAATTTCTGGGCTGCCCAAGACAATTCCTCTTTCCTCAGTGTGGCCCAGGGAAGCCAAAAGGTTAGACATCTCTGATGTAAAGTCTTTGGAAGGTACTATGTTTTAGCTATGAGGGCAAGAGTCTGCTGGAGTTAGCACCTATGTAGGTAGTGTTTGAGTTAATTCAGCAGCCATGCCGGGATGGGTGACGGGGAGAATGTGATCTGTAATCTCTACCCTCAAAGTAAATCTTGCAGGCTGGAAAAGGCAAAACTCCGTCCTCTACAAGTGAGAGCACTGTGTTGTCTTCTTCCAGAGAACAGGGTGGTGGGTAAGAAATGCTTTGCAAAACGTTTGCCGTAGAGATTTCTGGAATTCTTCTTGGAGAAGTATAAGCGTCGTGTGTGTGATGCCGACCGGTGGAAGTTCGTCAATGGCTGGTACATTTTGGTGATTATCAGCGACCTCATGACAGTCATTGGATCCATATTAAAAATGGAAATCAAAGCAAAGGTGAGGGCAAATACTTATCACCTGTGTTCTCTGTAGTCTTCTGGATGACCTCAGGCATTCATAAAACCCTGTGGAGACTAGTTTGATTCTCGTGTCTTTCTGTCCTCACACCTGTATGAGTTGAGTGAGGCCTCTTCCGGCTCGACGCCTCATGAAGGGACATTCAGGAAGCTGTGTACCACGGAAGGCGACATTCTTGTGGCTGTCCCCCAGAGGACTTGGCGACACCTTCAGAATAGTCACTTGAGTTTGAGAAGATGGGTTATTTGGACTTTTTTGGGGGGGTCTTTTTAAATTGCGAAAGGGGCAGCTTACCCATAAACCAGGCCCTTCCCCTGAGCACATTGGGAGCCTGTGATGAGGGTGAGGCGGGAAGCCTGACACTTTGTGTGAATTAGTTGATGTCATCTTCTAACTAAGCCCTGGCTCCTCCCTCTCCCAGCTGCTCCCTCTCCAGGCTCTGCCGTTTGTTCATCGGCAAGTCTCACTACTTCACCTCCTTCCCACTAAGGTGCCTCCCTCTTCTGGCTCCCTCTGGCTTCCTTCAGGCTGTCATTCTCACTGGCCGGACCAGGACAGCGGCCCCCTCACTGGCTCTCCCGTCTTCTGCTCTATGTCCCTTCGATCCATCCACCTCGCTGCCAGAGTAATTTTTCTGGAAGTGTCTGTCTTACTGTTCACCATCCTTTTTGGGAGGTGAACTTGGAAATGAAGTGGGCTCCCGTCAGCCTAGCCTCCGGGGTCTTCATCATCCACCTGCGCCTCCTGTGCCCGCCCCAGCTCTGATACTGCCCCTGTAGGACACCTTGCTGGTTCACAGTCTTGTCCCTTTGTTCAGCCTTGTCCCTTACCTGTGGTGCTTTCTCTCAGCCTGTCCTGCAGGCCGTCTCTGCCCTGGAGCCACCCCTGCAAGTATCCCTCCAAAATGAGCTAGGCATTCTCTCTCTCTCTCTCTCTTCCTCCTTTCCTCTCTTCCTTCCTTCCTTTCTCTCTCTCTCCTTCTTTCTTCCTTCCCTTACCTGTGGTGCTTTCTTTCAGCCTGTCCTGCAGACCATCCCTGCCTTGGAATCATTCCTGAGGGAATCCCTCCACGACAAGCTCGGCATTCTCTCTTTCTTTTCCCTCCTTCTTTCCTTCCTTCCTTCCTTCCTTCCTTCCTTCCTTCCTTCCTTCCTTCCTTCCTTCCTTCCTTCCTTCCTTCCTCACTGTGTTGCCCAGGCTGGAGTGCAGTGGCACCATCACGGCTCACGGCAGCCTCCTCCTGGGCTCAGGCAATCCTCCTTCCTCAGTCTCCTGAGTATCTGGGACTACAGCTGCATGCCACCAGCCTTAGCTTTTTTTTTTTTTTTTTGTAGAGATGAGGTCTCACTGTGTTGCCCAGACTGGTCTTGAACTCCTGGGCTTAAGTTATCCTCCCGCCTCAGCCTCCGAAAGTTTTGGGATTACAGGTGTGAGCCACCATGCCCGGCCTGCATTGTGTCTTTCGTTGCACCTGTGTGTTTTTATTAGAATGGGATTTGTGTGTTTATCTCCTCAACTAGACCTAGACTTTCTTGAGAGCAGAAACTGTGTTGCCAAATCATGTTGCAGCTTCCTTTCCAAAGTCGGAGCTTTCAATTCAAAAGCTGAATTGTGTCGTTTGCTACTAAACAAACACCACTAGTTTATATTCGTTGATGCTTAGCCCAGTGATAAATGCAATTTTTATTTCAGGATATTATTTGGAAAAAACTCACTCCAGCCAACTGAAATACAAAGAAGAAATGAAAAACACATTTTGAAATGGCGTTCTCTATTTTTCTTCTTTTTTTCTTTTTAAAAACTCTTAGTGTCACCTATCGGGAGACAAATAGTTCTCTTTTAAAAAAATTTTTTTTTAGTCAGTTTAAAGTGAGGTTAATAAAGTGAGTGGAGCAGGATATTTTACTCATTTGTCTTTTTTTTTGTTCATTCCTTAGAATCTCACAAATTACGATCTGTGCAGCATTTTGCTGGGGACATCTACACTCCTTGTTTGGGTTGGAGTCATCAGATACCTGGGTTATTTCCAAACGTATAATGTAAGGATGTGGCACTGGGCGGCACGGACTGTGATTGGGACTCTCTTCTTCTTTGGGTTCTAGTAGCTACTTTTTCATGTCCCTCATTCTGCTAATTTTTCTTTTCAGGTGCTTATTTTAACGATGCAAGCCTCACTGCCCAAAGTTCTTCGATTTTGTGCTTGTGCTGGGATGATTTATCTGGGTTACACATTCTGTGGCTGGATTGTCTTAGGACCATATCATGACAAGGTATGTGCCACAAATTCTTCCTTCTGCACAAATGGCCCATAGGACCCTTAAACATGGGTTTCCAGCACTCACCTTCTTCCCATTTTTCTACAGCACATACCCTTGACATTCGTTAGCACATATTTTTTTTGAGTCGGATTCTCACTCTGTTGCCCAGACTGGAGTGCAGTGGCATGCCCACGGCCACCCCCAATGTCAACCTGCTGGACTCCAGGGATCCTTCCCCCTCAGCCTTCCAAGTAGCTGGAGCCACAGGTGTGCACCACCACACCCAGCTAATTTTTTGATTTATTGTAGCAACTACACAATATTAAAAGAACTGCACAAAACTAGAAAGCATATATTATAGTTGTCAAGGACTGGCTTAAGAGGTCACGTATTAACCCAGTAGTCGTCACATGAGAATTTTTTTAAATTAATTTTCTTTTTGGTTGGGGTCTCATTCTGTCACCCAGACTGGCATGCAGTGGCATGCTCCTGGCCACCGCAGCCTCTACCTGCTGGGCTCCAGCGATCCTCCCGCCTCAGCCTTTCAAGGAGCTGGAACTATAGGTGTGCATTACCATGCCTGGCTAATTTTTTTTTATTTATTGTGGAGACGAGGTCTTGCCAGGTTCCCTGGGCTGGTCTTGAACCTGCAGGCTCAGGCAACCCACTCACCTCAGCCTCCCAAAGTGCTGGGATTACAGGCTGAGCCACCAAGCCCGCCCTAAATTTTTAATTTAATTTAATTTTTATATATTTTTTGAGCCAGAGTCTCACTCTATTGCCCAGGCAGGAGTGCAGTAGCATGATCACGGTTCATGCCAGCCTTGACCTGCTAGGCTCAAGCAATTCTTCTACCTCTGTCTCATGAGTAGCTGGGACTACATGCGTGTGTCACCATGCCTGGATAATTTTTTATTTTTTATTTTTGTAGAGATGAGGTCTTACCATGTTGCCCAGGCTGATCTCAAACTCCTGGGCTCAAGTGATTCTCCTGCCTCGACCTCTCAAAGTGTTGGGATTACAGGCCTGGTCCCAAAAGAGAAATGTTTGGACACAAGATCACTAGAGTAAAAATAAAACTAAGTGAAGAAAATTATTTTAAAAATCTTTCTTATTTAAAGTATTAGGTCTTTCATCCAACTTAAGAGGAGAAGGAAGGTAAGCAAAGACTGCCTGGAATGACCAATTAGATTTACAATTGAAATGATGGAGTCTTGTCTCTGCAGGTGGTTTTGATGGCAGCATCATCTTTGTTCCTTATTAAAGATCAGTATCTGAATTGTTTTTAACCCCCAAAAAGTAAACAGAGTTACCGCATCTTACAACTTTTCTTCCGTGGGCCTGTGGCATTTGGAACAACAGAAACAAAAAAGTACGATCAGCTAACTCTTCCTGCTTGTATGTAAGGCACTGGTCTGGCATTTCTATGTGCTTTCTCACATAATCTCCACAGCAGCCCAAGACACTGTTATCCTCACCTAGATTCCCTGAAAGAAGGAAAGAGGTTAATTATGCAAATATTGCTTCCAAGTTTGTATAATAGTTCAGCCTTAAGTTTTGACCTTGATAGTTGCATTAGCCAAAACAGGATCCAATCTTGTATACAATATGTTAACAAAGAGTAAGCTATATGAATCTCAAACCTTCTATGTTGGCCGGGTGTGGTGGCTCATGCCTATAATCTCAGCACTTTGGGAGGCTGAGACGGGAGGATCACTTTAGCCCAGGAGTTGGAGACCAGCCTGGGCAACATAGCAAGACCTTGTCTCTACCAAAAATGATAAGATGGGTGTGGTGGTGTGCACCTGTAGTCCCAGCTACTTGGGAGGCTGAGGTGAAATGGTTGCCTGAGTCCAGGAGGTCAAGGCAACCATGAGCCATGATGGTGCCACTGCACTCCTGCCTGGGTGACACAGTGAGACCCCAACTCAAAAACAAACAAAAAACCAAAGAAACCGAAAAAACAAAAAACAAACAAAAAATCCCCTCTATATTATCTTACTAAAATAAAGCCTAGTAACCTGGCACCACGAGACATTCTCCTCTGTGTCACATTAACATGTCTGGAGAGAATTACTGTTTTTCCTATTTGAGATACCATGTAATTAACAAAATGACAACCTCTGGGTTCATAGTGAATCTTAATGTTCTTATTGCTCTTCAAATTCCATGTCACGGCTTTAAAGGTGATTCTTGAGAAAACACTATTCTTGGATATGATCTCTCTGATCTGGGGAACTTATGGTCTCAGTGCCCAGAAAAAAAAATTGGTTATTTTTCCTTACTTGCCTCTTGCTCTAAAAGCTTTCCCACCTCTTTGTCACTAGAGAGCAGTGTTGCACCGTGTGGAATAAATACCGAGCCTGAGGCTCCGGCTTTGATTCACTGGCACCAAGATCTCAGGACAAGGGGTTCTATCCCCTTGGCCCCTCCCACTCCTGTCTCCCTCTTCTCAGCATCATTCTGGAAGGCTCATATAGTGCTTGACGTTGACTAGGTGGCCACCATTCCCAAGTGCTGTTTGTTAGGCATGGTGCCAAGTTCTTACCTCCCCTGCGGTGTGAGTCCTTCCCTTCCCTTCTCTGTGGGGAAATATTATTATCCTTTGACAGAAAATAGGCACCTTAATATATTAAATAATCTCCCTAAGGCTTCCTAGCCAAGAAACAGCAGAGATTCAAATCCAGGTCTGGGAGACCCCAGTACACATGCTTTGACCAATGTCCTGTAGGTCTTTTCTTGGTATTATCTAAAACGGATCATTGCAAAAGAGTATTGAATCTGACCCAAGATGCAGGCTTGTACTTCAAGGTCAACGGTGAGAGGACAGCCCTGTCATCAGGCATATTCTCTCAATGCGTGTCAAGGTCACCTCATGGAAAATGAGATTATTTGTGTGGGGAGCCTGACTGCCTTTCTGTGCATTCCAGTTTGTTCTTTTGAAGGATTCAGGTGAAATTGGGATGCTCTGGACCCGGGCAGGCCAGTCATGCAAGCTGCAGATGACAGCTGTTGGACACTTAAACATTTTCTAGTAGCTGCATTAAAAAAAAAAAAAAGGAAACAGATGAAATTAACTTCAATGATATATTTTATTAAACCTAGTCTATCCAAAATGTTATTTCAGCAGATAATCAATATGACATGGTCAGGTAATTGACTTTCCTTTCCTCATATGAGGTCTTTGAATTCTGGTGTGTTTTATCCTCACAGCACGTCTCCATTTGAACTGGCTACACACTGGGTGCTTGACAGTCACATGCGGCTGGTGGCCACCGTACCTCTAGACTTTTGCCTCTCACTTGATGTCAGCCTTCCCTTGGTCCCCCTGGAGGAGCAGAGGGACAAGGCCATCTCTAGCGTGGCCTAGCAGGCTGTTAATGGTACTGCTTGCCCTGCTGATGTATTGAGGAAACGCATAGCTGAGTGAATTCAGGGAACACGCCAGTCAGTGGAGGGGGAGAACTTCCATCTGGTTCTGGAAATGTAGGCTTTTCTTCCCCATATTGCTTCTTCTTTGGATCTCAAGTTAGGAAATGACTCTGCCCCCTGTTTTCTTTCCCCCCCAAATTAATCTAAACTGTCAGAATTTTCAGGTTCTACCGGTATCTGTTGAATCAGAAGATGTTCCGTGTTAGCCGAAGCCTTAAAATGTGGAGTATTACAAGTAAACATTTTCTAGGACTTTTAGAAGCACAGCCACCTTGATTGTGAAAGCTAGTTTTTTTTTTTTTCCTTAAAACAAACTCACCAAAAAAAAAAAAAAAAAAAAAAAAAAACAACTGAAGAGGCGATATCAGGAAATCTGTAATTTACACAACTGCTGAATTGGTAGCCAGGGTCCCACGATACTTGAGTTCCCTGTCTTCCTCCTAGACATCTAATTTCAGTGGTTCAACCGAAGGGGAGCAAAGATACAGAAAGTGACCTGCCAATGTCTGACCCCAGCACTAATGGACTTTGCCATGGTGCCCTTTCAAAATGTCTGGGCACAGAGGGTGAGAGACTGTTGATGTTCTTCCAAACCTCCTCTTGAATTATTAAACATTTCTCTAATATGGTTTTTACGTTTCCAGATGATTTGTTAAAAAAAAATACTGTGAGGAATAAATCCTAGTCTTACATTGTCCCCAGTTTAAAATGAGAAGACCGAGGCGTTGAAAAACGATTCAGTTTTGCGGATGCCGTGGGTGAGAGTTCAACCGACCCTGCATGACACCTTCCTGCTTCTGAGGCCTCTGGCTTTAGCCAAGCTCCTCTCTCAAAACGTTGACTGGTGAAAACATTTAACTTGAATATTGCATGAGATCCTTAGCATCCGCTCTTGAAGCAAACTTTGATGTCATCCTTTGACGTAAGCTATCGCAGGATATGTTTTCATTCAAATGAAAGGTTTTTGGCCCAATCCCAAAATTATCATTTGTGTAATGAATGCCTGGATTCTCACTGAGATCCTGTGGGGGCTCTTTATGGAAATACCCAGTTAATATTTATTCAGTGTTTACTGTGTACCACACATGGCCAGGTTCTTCTAGCCCGAGTTCTTGGAGGGTGGGATCAGGGACGGCAACTCACTCCTTTAATTCCCAGTGTTGAGCATGGCACGTAGAACATGCAGGCACTCAACAAGTTTCTTGAATAAACAAGAAACAGACAGAAATAGGAGTCCTTGCCTTCCAGGGGCTTGCAGTCTCTCAAGAACCCAAGCAACAAGATCCTTCTAGTCTGGAAGCCCATTAGAGCCTCACTTGGGTTTTTGTAAAGTTCATTCCTGTTGTGGTGTTTGTTTCACTGCCACTTCTTGTGATACAAAGTGGCAGGATATGGACCAATCACCTAATTTGTTGGGTCTCTGTTTTAACTTTTTGGTGGATTAAAATAATTCTCATGTGCACAGAGGCAGGGGAGGTATAATGGCTAAAATAACATTAGTGTCGAGACAGATATAGTGTCTAGACTGATAAGTACTTCATAGGAAACTAAGTTAATATTTATTCAGTACTTACTGTGCACCCAAGTAACCACACAGGAAGCTAAGTAACCACATAGAAAACTAAGAAATGAATTTGATACGTACTGCCCAACTGGCTATTTACAATTCTGAAACCTGAAGCCCAGACTGTCAGGGGTTCTTGAAACAAAAGAAAGAAATTGTCCACATTCCAAAAGAAACTACAAGTCATACGAATTATTCATGGCACTGTCGGAGTTGGGACTGACATCCATAGAAACCAGCTTTAACTTTAATGTCTTGAGGCTAGTGAAGGGGATGAAAATATTTACTCTGGGAACTACCTGTCTTACTGTTAAATAATCTGCATATATAGTTAAGTGACTTACTCAAGCAAATGTTTCCTCATGTCTCTACGAAAGGACTTTAGTCTGGTCCACCATAGGTATTGCTGAAACCTTTGTTTGGGTGCAATTGTATACCCTCTCCCTTGGCCACTGATTTTACCTTCCCTGGTCCCGCCACGGGGCTGGGATTGTAAAACCTGGTGTCTGTGTCTAGATGAAGTATAGAGAAGTGAGTATAAATACAATGAGAAGACCACCTGTAGGTTATTCTGCGGTTCTTACTGATAAAGACAAGGGATTAGAGCTGCCAGGACAGTCTGTCTTGATGTAGACTTTGAACCAACTCTTGGATGTTGGCTTGATTGAACACAGAGACAAGAAATTTGACTATACCAGGTGAGAAGAACATACTCCATAAGGAAAAAACATAAATGTGGTCTTGGTGTCGTGAAAGGACAAGGTCTTAACATTGACAATGATGTGTTACAGTGAGATCACGTGAAGGAGGAGCTTACCCAACCTCCTTGCTTTAGAGTTTTACTTTGTACCTAAACTTCATGTAGTCTTACGCGGGAGAGATGACCTGACACCATCTTCTATGAAGTTTAGGCTTTACTGCAACTTGAACTAGAGGATGAAGAGGTTGGAGCGAAAAGGGCTTCCTTAGAGGTTTCAGTAATAATCTAGACATAAGTTTTGATACACCAGAAAGGGTGGATCAGAAACACGTGTTATAGGGACAGGCAGGCCTTGGAAGACAGAAGGGAAGGGAAGATTAATTAGTTCAACACATAGTTTTGAGTACTTGACTGTTTGGAGTGTTTCTTTGGAAGGAGATTGGAATCACTGACAGACAGAGAGAAACTTAGGAGGAGAGACCATTTTCCTGGTTAAGGTAGTAAAAGGTTTTACTTTGTTGGCATTTTCCTTTTTAAAAAAAATTTTTAATTTTGAAGATGTGGGGTACAATTCAGGGTCAGGTATACAGATGTTCATTATGCAGTTACCCTTGTTGATAAGGTGTGCCCTCCCTCCCCTGGAAGTTTTTCACTACTGCCAATCCTGTCTCCACCTCCCCTGGCAGTTTCCAACTACTGCCATTCTTGACATTGTCAAGGAATAGTCTGTTCCATAACAAATGTTGCATGAGATTCTTAGCATCAGCTAAGCATTCTCTAAGCATCTCTAAGCGTGAGTAACATAAAAAGATACTTAAGTAGAAGAAAAATCAGAACCAAAATGGTTAGATGGTAAGACCACAGATATATAAAAAGGGCTAGGAAAAAAACTGAAGGAATGTCAAGAGACCGTCCTCGAGAGTGTGGAAGGGACTTTTGAATAATGTGGTCTGACTTCCTGTGGTGTTCTGGCTGTCTTGAAATGAGGAAGTTACCCTTCTACCAATGACAGCAACAATGCTAACCAAGCAAGCTAACTAGATACTTTCTGCTTTTTAGAATACTGCATTTCAGAAACTAATTTTTGTTTCTCCCTGGCAGTTTGAGAATCTGAACACAGTCGCTGAGTGTCTGTTTTCTCTGGTCAATGGCGATGACATGTTTGCAACTTTTGCTCAAATCCAGCAGAAGAGCGTCTTGGTTTGGCTGTTTAGTCGTCTGTATTTATATTCCTTCATCAGCCTCTTCATATATATGATTCTCAGCCTTTTTATTGCACTTATCACAGATTCTTATGACACCATTAAGGTAAGTGATTATCAATATTTGCTGCCAAAAAAACACTGCAAATTCTGCATAGACCAGAACATAGAAAAATACCACAGTTTTCAATATTACAACTTTATTTAAAGGTTGAGGTTTTGTAGATAAGAACCTTTTTAGATCCTGGAGATTAATTTTAAATCTGCATTTAGGACATTGCTCCTGCTGCCCAGATCAGGGTGGCTTGGTTTAAAGGGGGGCAGGAAAGAGGTCGGAAAAGGGTGGGAGGGGTTAGAGTGTGGTGAGTTCAGTATTGGGCTGGTGGTCTCAGCACTGACAGTCATACCTGCCCATGTGGCTACCTGGAATTTAGGGTTGAATAGTAAATTTCAGTGATAAGAGGTGACTGCTACCCTGAAAACTCTCCAAATATTGCTGCAATTCACACTGGACCATACGGCATGACACAGGTTTCCTTTAAATTATGAAAACCAGCTGGGCGTGGTGGCTCACCCCTATAATCCCAGCACTTTGGGAGGCTGAGGTGGGAGGATGCTTGAGCCCATGAATTTGAGACTGGCCTGGGTAACATAGCGAGACCTCTTCTCTACAAAAATAATAATAATAATAATAAAATTAGCAGGGTGTGGTGGCATCCCAGCTACTTGGGAGGCCGAGATGGAAGGATCACCTGAGCCCAGGAGTTTAAGGCTGTGGTGAGCCGTAATCATACCACTGCACTCCAACCTGGGTGATGGAGTGAGACCCCTGACTCAGAAAGACCCAAATTAAGTAAATAGATAGATACATAAATAAATGATAAGACTGCAGCTTTTGTGACTGCTCCACTTCCTCCTTTTTTTTTTTTTTTTTTTTGAGTTGGAGTCTCACTCTGTCTCCCAGACTGGAGTGCAGTGGCTGCTCCCCGGCCACTGCAGCCTCGACCTGCTGGGCTCCGGTGATCCTTCTGCCTCAGCCTTCCGAGTAGCCGGAATTACAGGCGCACGCTACCATGCCCGGCTAATTTTTTGATTTTTTATTGTAGAGACGAGGTCTCACCTGCCCAGCAGGTCTCGACCCTGCGGACTCAGGCAATCCACTCACCTCAGCCTCCCAAAGTCGCGGGATTACAGGCTGAGCCACTGAGCCCAGCTCTACTTCCTCCTTTCTTAAGCTGCCTGATGGTTTGTGTATCTGTTCAGACCAGTCTCATTTAGTTGACCTGTAGCTTGAAGGAAGTCATCTCCTTGGCGCTGGTACCCTCACCACAGATGGTCAAGCCTGGTACACCCCGTTTCAGGGTCACTATCTAAATGACCAGGGATGCCATGTCAGTGCCTTTGGGTACTATCCTCTCTGCTTAACCCCTTCTCAGTATAACTCAGAAGAAAGTCAGTTCCTTGGAAAAACTCCTGTGTCTCTTTTTAGTGTGTGGGGAGGTGAGTGTTCAAGTGGGAGTGGTGGCTGTTTCTAGCTGCAGGGCTTGGCATGGAGAGAGGAGAGCTAGACACGCGGGTTCGCGTCTTCAGTGGGGCAGTGTCCCTTTGGGCAGCTAAGCCTCTGTGTTGAGGTGGGTAGCCTCCCTAAGCCTGAGGGCCGGAAGTCTCAGGGTCTTTGCATGTGCTTGGAAAAATCGACTGCCTTCTGTCCTGCTAAGTGTCCAGCTTCCATAAAAACAGGATATAGAGATTATTTCTCAGGCTGATTTCTACATTAGCAGTATATGGAATAGGAGGTCTGGCTCTTAGCTTTAAAGCTTTTGATTTTTTTTTAAGAGATAGGCTCTCACTCTGTCAGACTGGAGTGCTGTGGTACAGTCATAGCCCACTGTAGTCTCAAACTCCTGAGCTCAAGCATCCTCCTGCCTCAGCCTCCTGAGTAGCTGGGACTACAGGCCCACCATACCTGGCTTCATTTACTCATTGTTTAAAACATTTTTTTTTTGTAGAGGTGGGGTCTTGCTATGTTGTCCAGGTTAGTCTCAAACTTCTGGCCTCTAGCAATCCTCCCACCTCAGCCTCCCAAAGCACTGGGATTACAGGCATGAGTCACCATCCTGACCCGGACTTTTGACTGTTTTCCTTAACAGATGGAATATCTGTTAAGACACCCCTCCCTGACTTTCCCCTGGCTTGCTTTCTGACGTTTTTTTTTTTTTTTTTTGGATTGTTCTGTGTTCCCACAGTGGCCCTGGGTTGGCGTTCTGGGCCTGACAGATTGATTCATCATTGTGAATATCAGTCCTTGGATCTGAGCTAGCAATGTGGGAGAGTTTTATTTTAGCAGAGGTGGGTTTGATTTGTTGACAGAGGAGTACTTTCTCATGCACTTTCTATAAGGTAACAACACTGTGTGCTTTTTAAAGAAATTCCAGCAGAATGGGTTTCCTGAAACGGATCTGCAGGAATTCCTGAAGGAATGTAGTGGCAAAGTGGGGTATCAGCATGAGCCCCCCGCCCTCCTGTCCTGCGTCAGCTGCCTGAGGAGGTCAGTATCATGTTTAATCTCCATATTCCTGAGATGGGCCGTGCTGTTGCTTTAAGAGAAAGCCATTCCAAGATTAACACTACACTCACAAATCAACTTATTGTGGAAAACAATTCCGCTTTCTTTTCTTTTCTCCCACTGAAATTGATGTTAGAAATGGTTTTTTTTTAAATTAAATAGGGTTTGTAGAAAGCTCCATGACAAGAGAAAGATAATCTCTTAGAAACATCACAAGCCTATTAGAAGGAGGCATGAACTATTTCCCCTAAAGTCAAGGAGGTAGACACTTAAGTGGCTGAAGTAAGAGGTCAGAGCTCTTATTTTTAGAGGGAGAACACTGGGAATGGCAGAGGCGTTTTCCCTTTTCACAGTACTTGCTACAGTCGCCTTTCTTGATCAGTGTGGGGTTCCTGCCTGTGAGGGGGCTGCACACCAGTGTGGCTGAAATGCGAGTTGGTGGCTCTTCCTTGTCCAACCATGCTTTGCTTGCCTTTCGTCAGGATGCTGAGGAAATGGTCTAGACCTCCGTGGACAAATCTTAGCTCATAGTGGGTTGGGGGATAAGAATGGGGTCAGATGAGGACAGTTTTCTCAAATGTGCCCATGTTTAGTTTCATCTGAAGTCAGGGGTGAGTTTTGGTTTTTTTTCTGTTTTTGATTCAGGGTCTCACTCTGTTTCCCAGGCTGGAGTGCAGTGGCACCATCACTGTTCACCGCAGCCTTGAGCTTCTGGGCTCGGGCGATCCTCCCTCCTCAGCCTCCTGAGTAGCTGGGACTACAGGTGTACGCCACCATGCCTGGCTAATTTTTTTATTTTTTGTAGTGACAAGATCTCACTATGTTGCCTAGGCTGGTCTCGAACTCCTAGGCTCAAGCAATCCTCCTGCCTCAGCCTCCAAAAGTGCTGGGATTACAGGTGAGAGCCAGTAGAGCCGACAGGGGTAGGGATTTTTAACTAAAATTGTACCCTACCCATCTTATTTTTTAAAAAAGAGAATTCTCTAAACCAACTTCCCGAAGACAGGAGAACATAATTGCTATTTAAAACCACAGGATGTATTTTTCTGTTAATCAATTCACATTGCATCTCGGGATTTTAAATGATATGATTGAGTATATCCGAAGTATGTCTGGTAAATATGAAATGAGGTCTTCTGAGAAGAGTTGTTTTCAGAATCACATTTTATCCTTCCAGATCATTCAATTGTTGCTGTGGACGCCGGGATAAAGAAAAATTAATTTTCTTAATAGCTGCCTCCTTAGAGGCACCCTGCAGAACGAAAGGCTCTCCAAGTTGCTTTTCCAGGTTGTTGTTAACTGTGAGGAGGCCAGCTACTCGTCAGAGAATGAATGAAAAGGAGATTCTTTTTGTTTTAAATTTAATTTGTTTATTTATTATAAAGATGTAGGGTACAATTCAGGGTTAGGTATACAAACATGATCATGCAGGTACCCTTGTTGATCAGGTATGCCCCTCCTTCCCCTAGCAGTTTCCCTCAACTACCAATCCCACCCCCCCTCCCCTGACAGTTTCCCACTACTGCCAATTGCTTTCTTATTGCATTATAATTGTTCAAGATCAGCTTATGAGTGAGAACAGACGGAACTCAGTTCTTTGTTTCTGTGATAAATCACTGAGTATGATCGACTCCAAATCCATCCAGGTTGCTGCAAAGTCCATATATTTGTCGTTCTTTATGGCTGCATAATATTCCCTTGTGTATATGTACCACATTTTTCTTATCCAGTCTAGCTTTGATGGGCGACATGAATTCTGAAAAGTAACTGACAAGTCTTTGGCATTTGGACATTGATTTGCACTACATCAAGTCCTGGTGCTATGTCTTCTTGTGCTGTCCTGTGGAATGAATGGAAGATTTAAGGGGGGGTCTAGAAGACTCCTTGATAAAATTGGGGCTGAGTGCTGAGATGCGTAGATCAGCATCAGCAGACAGTTTGCTCCGAGCTGTGCTAAGGGTTGTTGAGAGGATGCTTGGTGGGAAGGAGAGTCCGTCCATGATGAGGGGTGAGCAAATTCAGGGGCGCAAGAGATCCCCCTGAGAATTTCTTTTTTCTTTTCAGAATTATGTTTTATTGCTGTTAGATAATACAGTTTCTTTTCTGTTTATTTCCTCCCAACCTCAATTTCCTCTGAGTTTTATGACTGACCACCAGCAGTCTCTATAGTTTTATTTTTTTCACAGTTTGTTTTACCGTATCACTTTTATCTCAGTGCTTATAAGTCTGTCTATTCATTTCTTTTTTTTATTATAAAGATGTGGGGTACAATTCAAGGTTAGGTATACAAACGTTCATTATGCAGGTACCCTTGTTGGTGAGGTGTGTCCCTCCCTCCCCTAGCAGTTTCCCTCAACTGCTAATCCCGCCCCCCAGCCCTAAGGATTTCAATGGAAGAACTAGGATGATGAGAGTTTTGACAAAAGACAATATCAACAAATAAAGGCGGAGGTGGTTGTGACCATGTCTGGACAAAAGACAGTCAAGGGTGAAGGCAGCTAGAGACAGTTCAGTGCAATCATCAGATCAGAGTCTGGATCCTGGGAGGTTTGGGTAGGCCCTGCAGATTGAATGAAGGGCACAGGGCCTGATGGAAGGAAATGGGCTGTAATGGGACCCTGATGACTTGAGTCCATCAAAAGTTAAGTATACCTTGATGTGTTTAAAAGCTAGGAACCGAAGAACGGAATAGAGTCAAGAAAGCTAGGGATGGAGAGGAAATATTGGAGAAAGACCTTCCTGAGGCAACATGGTGAGCACAAAGAGTTGGCACTGCAGAGATGGGTATCTGTGCCCCTGTCTGGTGACCGTGACAGATGATACTCAGCTATCCTAGCTCTGCCTCCTGCACAGCATGGATACGGTCACTCTTTTTCAACTCAGCAGTCCAGCAACCACCACACATTCTCCTTTGAATTGTTGACAGGGTCTGTAGTCTGAGATCAAAACACTGGTGCTTCGCTTTGGACCCTACAGTTGACCGAGTGTGTCCTGTGATTCCTCCCAAACCTCTAGGTTCCACCACTGTCATCATGGTGGACTAGATGACCTCTGACACCTCTTCCATTTCTAAAGCCATGTGGTTCTTTGGCGAGATATGCTTGGTTGAACAGTTGCAAAGTGAGGCTTTCCTACTCTCTACTGCAGTGAGGGAGGAACCATGGAAAATTGGCTGTTCTAGTCATTGATAAGGCTTTGTTAGAAAAGGGACATGGAAAGTTCCACAAGATGGCTGGCTCCTCACAGTTTATTTCCAAAAGTACCTACTCAAACCTCACATAATGGGAACTGCCCTTCTTAATTTTTCTTCCTCCTATACGTTTCACTCAACATGTCTACAACCCACGTGAGCCTAGAATATAGAGTATTCTTATTTCTCCTCAGGTTTTAAATCATTGTTCTTTTTTTCCCCCTTCTGTTACAGGAAAGGAAGTGATGACCCCCTGATACTTATTAATTAAAGTTCTTCTGCTTAAGACAATTAAAGTTCAGGTTTCCTCATCCAGTGACAATGCAGAGGGGTCCCGAATGGTTTGACCCGATAGTTTCAAAAGGACTGTCTTATCTAATTGTGGAGTTGGAAAGAGGAATAGCCGTCAGCTGGCTGACCACAATGGAAGCTCCAAAGTTATTTTATAAACTTAGACGATGGAAAATGGGCATTAGTGCAATTGAACAGTGATATGTTCTCTATTCACCTGTTAATTTATGACATGATAATGTTGAATTGGAAAAAATTACATTTCAGAATGTGCAAGACAATGGCCTTCATAGCCATATCTTTAAAGGTGTGTGTTTATTATCCAATAAGAGTTTGTTTTAAAGGTAATTCTTGGGTCTGAAGATATTTGTTAATTCATGGTCTGCACAGAAATGAAGTTGGTTGCAATACCAACCTAGAGACTCCAAACTAGAGAATTAGTCAGCCTTTGGAAGATCACACTTAAGTCAACAAGAAGACCTTGTGCAGTGGATATCTCGTGGCCCATTTTCCTGTGGACTTTCTTCTTCACCATGATGTGAAACAACTGTCACCATCACCAGAGTCTTGAGTAAGAAATGGAGTCATTCAGATGCATCATCATGGCCAATTGTTGACTGTACTCAAATGACATGTGGAAGTGACCGGAACCAGTAGTCGCTCATTTTCACAACTAAACTCCGCTGAGTTGGGGATTCACTTTTGTCAAGCAAAGAAATATGGTATATTTTTTCCTAAATACATTTATTTTTATCATTTCACAGGGCACTACTATTATTTTTTAAAAATGCAATGTCTCTAAGCATCTACCTAGTGAAAAGTTCAGATCACATCTCTGTTAACTACCTGGTCTCCAGAAGGGACTTACCACTCTCTTAAAAGGAGAAGTAGAGGCTAGTATTAGAAGTTATTCAATCAATATTTATGACAATCAATAGACAGATTAAGATCACTTCATGCGTAGGCTTATTTCATACTTGAGCTAGCTCAGTGGTCAACTGTTTTAAAGTCACTGGTGAAGAGCAGAATTCAAATGAAGCAGGACCCTCCTCCCAGGTCTCTTCCTCTTTGACCTTGGCCTCAACCATGCCCCTCCCACAAGCCTCTACCCAACTGGCTTTCCTCCTAGAGATCCCCCCCCACCCACCTCCTCGCTCCCATCCTGTCTTCGCGTGTCCACACCACACCTAGGCAGGGAAAATCGCCTCTCTCGTTCATACTGTTAGATTTTGCAAGAGAGTAAACGACTCGTGTCTACACACAGAATACTTCATTCAAGTTATCATTTTAACCATTGAAAAAAATATTTGCAATGATTTGTATTTTATTTCATTTTTACTTTAGATTCAGGGGTACCTGGGCATGTTCATTACATGGACATATTGTGTCGTGGTGGGGATCGGGTCTCAGGTGGCCCATTCCCCGATAATGAACATTGTATCCCACAGGTAATTTCTGAGCCCTGACCCCGCCCCTTCTCCCCACCTCCTCCCTTACTGGTGTCCCCAGTGTCTATTATTTCCATCTTTGTGGCCATTTAACTCTCACATATGAGAGAGGACATTAAAAAATTTTTGTTATTATTATAGAGATGTGGGGTGAAAGTGAGGATTAACTACATAAGTAGGCTGCATGCAGGCGAAGTTTGGGCTTCTAGCTGGCCCTCACTGCCCCTGGTAGTGGACCAGGTACCCAGCGTGTTGTCACAAGCCCTCACCCTCCTTCCTCCCTCCCCTAACTGTGCCCAGCAACTGCCCATCCCTCCCTTGTGCTAATGTGACTAGTGTTCAGGGCCTACTTACAAGTAAGAACATGCAAGCTAAACATTTTTAAAAATAAAAAATGTCAAGATTTCTGTTTGATTTCTAAGCTAAGGACCATTAAACTGGTGGGTCTGGGATCATTTGCATGACCCCAGAATCGGGGATGTAATTAGAACAGCTACTAACTTCTGAGCATATCCTCATATTCTGTACTTAGCTTTGTATCCGAACAGAATTGCTGTTAAAGTCTCTTGCTTATTCTGCAGCTGTGACTGCCGTTTGAATAGAAGATTAATGACGGTCTTTCATGCTCTTATGATTCTTTTATTGGCTTTATGTTTCCTTTCATTTCTTTCCCTTCCAACTGGACAAAACACTTTTCATAAGGAAAATCCTTTTCAAGGTTACCCCACATCTGTGGAAGTATTGTTTTTCTTTTTTTTCCTTTTTAATAATTTTAAACATTGGTCACTTTACCAACTGTTTGGATTTTATTGAACAATGTTGTGTCATCACTCTGCTAAGAGACACATCTGGGACAAATTTTTTTCTCTCCTACCCTTGGCCTCCACTTAGAAAGTTTGCCATGAAAGTCAGGAGAAGCATTCTCTTTGCCGACTGGTTTCATTCTGGGGTGTCCAACCCTTGTGGACTTTACCTCCTTGCCTTGCAGTGACATGATCAAAGCCATCTGCAACATCCTAAAGCTTGTTGACTTGGGAGAGCTGGAGAGACGTGGCTATCTAGACACACTTGAGTTACAGTTCCGGCTTAACTTAGTTCTGAGGTCCTGGACAAGTTGCTTTCTGCCTCTAAATGATGATAATAAACCTCAGCCAACAGAGACTGGCAGTTAAGTCTTGTAACTCATGCAGAGCCTGGCATTGAATTGATATATGAGCTGTTCTTTCCTCTTGATTCTCTGCCATGTTTGCACATAGTTTCCACGTTACCATGGAATAGTGCATACATTGGTAGCATTGCTTCTGCAACCATCTGCTTCATCTCTTCTCTTTCTTCTCCATCTGAGTCTCCTTGGACAGCTGACCTTCTGTGCCTCTGCTTTCTCATCTGTAAAATGGGGATTTGTGAGGATTAGGTGAGTCAAACGTAAAGTGCATAGAACAGGTTAAAACTCCTAAGTGCTCTTGAAAAAATGCTTTTCTCACATAATCTGCAATTGTACAAATCTATTCACCTGAGCCAGCCAGGAAGATTTTAATTTTGTAATGAACTCACCACACTCTTCTGGTGGACTTTGTTCTGGTTACTCTGCCCTGTCCCGGAAGTCGTTCCTTATTCAACCCTAGGAGGACACATGGAGAAGCAGCCCAAATACCCAGCTCCTAAGGGCACAGCTATCAGTCCTGATGGAAGATAACAGGTCCTCAAGGTGTACACGCTGTTACAAAGCCCCAGTCCTTGACCTTGGTGAGATCCTCTGTGTCTACTAGGAGCTATTAACCAAGTTTGTCAGAATGTGTGGAATTCAGGCCAGCTTGCATGTTAACCATTGTTGGTCCAAGGTGGTGAATGCAAAAGGGTGAGAGGGTATTTAGGAAAAGCTCTTAACAAGGTCCAATCACCGCCCCTCAATGCTGGCTGAAGGCCTCTACTGTAACAATGGCAAGAGGTGGGCACTGGCCCAGTAGAAGTCCAGGCCCAGAATCTTGGGTTTATGAGAAGCACGGTAACCCAGGCTTTTCATCTAGGGTCAAACAGCCAGCCACCCTCTTGTGCCTGAAGACATTCATGTAAAAATAGCCCAGCACTGTCATAAATTCAGGGGCCCTAGAGTCATGGAAAAGTATGTTCAATAAACTACCACCAACTCTGTAGTCTTGGCCACAGAACTGTTTCCTGACTATATAAAGAGCTTCAATGCTGACAGATATGATTCTAGGTATCTGAACAGTTCATTTGTAACAACCATATGTTGCAGTAACTTTGGGTGAATATACATCATTTTAACTTGGGCCAATTTTAATTTGCTTCACCTGACTTGTAGTTTGAACATCTCAATCATGTAGCTGACCCCTCTTATCCACAAAGGATTCATTTCAAGACTCTCAGCAAATGCCTGAAGCCACAGACAGTGTTGAACCCAATACAGACTGAATATCCCTAATTCAAAAATCTGGACTCCAAAATGCTCCAAAATCTGAAACATTTTCAGTGCCAAGATGACCCCACACCTGATCTCACGTAATGGATCACAGTCAAAATGAAGCCAAAACTGTTTCATGCACAAAATTATTATAAATATTGTACAAAGTTACCTTTAGGCTATGTGCACAAGGTATATATGAAGAATAAATGATATGTTTCCAAGATATCTCATTATGTGTATGCAAGTATTCCAAAATCTGAAAAAAATCAAAGTCTGAAACAGTTCTGGTCCCAAGCATTTCAGATAAGGGGTACTCAACCTGCATATAATATGTTTTTCCCCATACATACATACCTATGGTAAAGATTAATTTATAAATTAGGCACAGTAGGAGAGTAACAACCATAATAAAATGGAACAATTATACTTTTAATAAAATTATGTGAATGTGGTCTCTTAAAACTTCACCCTTCGTGTGAGGATGCGAGATGATAAAATGTCTATGTGACAAGGTGAAGGGAGGTGAACGGTGAATGACGTAGTGTTAGGCTTTGATTGACATGATGATATGGCTGGAAGGAGGGCCCTCTGCTTGACAAGATCCTGGGTCATTGAGCCATGGTGATGGTAATGGTTAGATGTCGGAAGCAGATAATGGGGACCATCCACAGCCTGGATACACTGGACAAAGAGATGTTGCCTGTGCCAGGCTGAACCTAGTGGAATGGCGTGGGATTTCATCATGCTACTCACAACAACATGCAATTTAAAACTATGAATTGTTTATTTCTGGAGTTTTTCCTTTAATGTTTTGAGACCACGGTCGAGCTCAAGTAACTGAAACTGCAGAAAACAAAACCATGGATAAAAGAGGACTCCTGGATTCCAATGGTGTGGAGTCTTTCTCTACCAAATATCTAGAACTCTATACTCTTTGTAAAATCCATGCATACAGTAGCTCTTGTGCAACGAGTGATGAGACCTCACAGACTAAACCCTAAGCCCAGCATTCTGACATCAGGCACTTCAGGAAGGACAGTGAACGACAGGCACGAGAACAGGAAACCTGTGATTCTATGCACTGAGCAAGTGCTAAGCACCTCTGTTTTCCCTTTTTCTACTTGAGATGTTTCAGGCTCTTGATTTTGATGACATG